ATAGGGAACTCAAACATCTCTGTAAGTGAACCAGCGCCATATTTGAGCATAGACGATAATGGAACATCAAGGCCAACTGCACTCGTGATTTTTGCAGATTTAAAATGATGATAGACCTCCTCATGAGTGACCGGTACGACAGCAGACGGGCAATGTGTGGGGTATGAAGAATAAGAGACCATTTGAAGGATAAATGAATGCAGCAATAAGGCTGTCCACGTCAACGGTTTGGTTTGTTGACAGTTTCTTCCATCCGCACAGCAATTTAATCCCTTGCGATAACCGTCTTCCACCTCCAGCTCCCAAAAAGGGCTTTGCGGACGAAGTATTCAATCTTTCGACCTCTAAACTGATTTGCAGTGTAAGCTGTTTGGCAGTGGCTGTTTTGAGCATCTTGAGTACTAGTTCTTATATTCTTCTTCTATCAGCAGCAGAGAGTATACTATGACAGCATGAGCAAAAACTATTTCCATGGGACGGCATAAGTTGGCAATCACCTTAAGTAGTCAGCTAAAAATATTTTATATTGGGTGGAGAGACTGCGGTAAACCAGTCGCCACTTATATCTCCATTTCCAAGTTTCATACGTGATACACTCGAACTTCTCAATGCACCGTCGATACTTGCCAAATTACAGAGCATTTCCCTCACAACATTAGGCGATGAAAATTCATAAATAGTTACATTTTGTCCGGAGGGAAACGTTTTAAAAATATAAAAACAAACAAATTGTGTTACAATATACGGCCTAATGTGAAGGTAAACAAATATTTATATGATATATCACGACAAAACACCCGTAATGAATGTTTTAATGATTTTCCAAGTGAGCTGTTTCTCTTGATAGGCAATAAATAATTTTGTCAAACGTTTGCTCACGGTTGTGCAAATTCAAATTCAAAATGAAGTTAAAAGTACTGTTTACTAAATCCCTGGATTGATTGATTCCAACCCTAGCCATTGTTGTAAATCGTTGTATGATTAGTTGTGAAAAAGTTTCGAAGGAAGATATTGGCTTTAACCCTTGACCTATTGAGATGGTGTCCGTTGTTTACCTTCACAAATCATTATTTCTGTGCAGTGCCCATGGAATGTCACAGACAGACAACAAAATAAACCTATTGCTATTAGAAAATGGGTACTACTATTTGCAACTGAGTTATTGCTGCACATTACAAAGCACTTTATATTCCATTGATTTTTCTGCTGATGAACAAACAAATTCAGATGACTTATTTCTCGATTTTCGGCTTCAAGTCTGATTTACAGCATCAGCAGAACAAAACAGAACCAAACAGATGTCGGATTCTCTTGTTTGCAATGAAACAATTTCGTCCTACAGAATCTTAAGCAATATGGATGATGTTTTCAACGATGTACAGTTTCGCGCATTTGATGTGAAGAAATTGTTTGCAGATCATTTGCATTTTTTTGAGACTGTTAACAATTGCTTCCACGTAATAAAGTCATCGGTGAAGCAACATAAACCGCAGTCATTATCCAGAGAAATGAAGACGCACTGATTTTTAGGGCCTTCCAAACCTCGATAAACACCCGAATATTAATGCTTCTAAGATGGAACAACAGCTTCACAGACGCGACCGATTTCCTCTCATAAAAAGTTTATCACATTGGAATTTATGCCGAAGTTTTATTAAACCAGTTCTCCTAATCCAGAGTATTCTCAAATATCAAATCATAGGTGATGACATGAGCGGAAAATGCATTCTTATGGACAGCATTCAATTTTCTGGAAAAAATAGTGTATCTTTCTCGTAACCAAGTCACAAGATAGCTCTTAAATGTTCAAAACTCCATGCACAGTTTTCTTGACGATTAAGTGAGGGAGTTAAATTCGTGTGGGTGTAGGTTAACGCTGTTATCGCGCACCACGTTCAACTGCATTCCTGAACCCCGGTTTGGTAACAAGAGTCAAGCTTTAGGGTTTCGCTCTCTTATTGCTATTGCTGTTGTTGAAATAATGGAAGGAGTTCGCTGAACCTCAGCTGAACTGCTGTCATTCTGACAAGCACACACCGGACTTTGTTCAGCTTTGAATTGATGAATGTTGGTCGGTAGTGTAATAGTAGTGTTGGACAATTAATTGTTCATAGGATATGAAACAATAGAAGCAAAGCTTACATTATAAATGTCTTATTTCATTTTTAAAATCATTTATAAACTTAAATCTCGATATTACTTGCTTACTCCTTCCCGCAAATTTATCATCATTCAACAGTCGTGTGCACCCCGGAAACCCAGTAGAGTATCCTTTATATCACCAAAGTTGCCCGCATTAAAATATCCATTCTTGCCATACGTTGAAAGAATGTAAGGCTTTCGAACAACTTCCGAGAGCTGTTTACTTTTCAAATCATATGTTCAAATTGAAACAAAGGAACCTCACACCCTAATTTGCAGATTACTCTTATTTCTTTTTATTAGAAAACCCTTGATCATCCTGAACGTCATTCTTCTTTCTCAAGCACACACATACTTTTATTGTGATATTTGTCATCATTCTCTGTATATTACAAAAGGTTGTTTGCAATAACAATTTACCTGCCTGACTTAAACACTTTTCTTCAGTAAGAATCACTGCATGTAAGTTAGCTAAATCTATTAAAACAAAATGTTTCTGAATCAATTTTTACACTATAATTCCAAAACTAGCTATACATAACTGTTGTGTTTTTCTAGGAAACAGTATCGCGCAAACTCAACACAATAATTATCCTGTTTATAAATGGTGTCCTTAGTTCTTTCAGACTGATAAGGGGAAGGCAGCGTAGAAAAACAGAGTTCTTTAATATGCAGCACTTTCTTCAATTTTTTTATATTATTTTCTCGTAGTGCTCAATCTCTTGCGGCTACCAGTTTATCCTTACGTGTGAAATACCATGATAAAAACGTCCTACGGGATTCCTGGAACAAATTCAAGCTCTGATGGTCGAACTCGACAAAGTTATGGTTTTCTTCAATGTGACTCCGCTGTTCACCAACATATAAAAAAATTGACTATCGAAAATATTTTACTTTTGTTGGTAAATGACAAAAACGTACAACCAAGACCGAACTAATGAAGTTCAGAGAGCTCTTTATAGAACTATACCGAAAGTTCAATTGTAAGTTATACCAATAGAGACGAGGAACACTTGTGGGTTCGCCCCTCTCAGGCTTGCTTGGAGATGCGGATATGAAGTAAGTCAAAGCCGAGTCTTTTCAACTTCTACATCCTCGTTTGCAGATCGACTAATTCGTTAGACTGGAAACTTCTACGGTATACCAACAAATCACCCATGAACCTGGCATCAGCTTCAAAAGACAGTCTAAGAAATACAGCCAACGTTTCTTTCTTCTAATGAGACAACCAGACGGACGAATAGCGATCACGGTCTATCACGAACCGACCATGAGAGATCAAATTCTCATTCTCGCGAACAAGAACCCCTCTGTCATTCGATAAGTTGTGTGCAAATACCGTCCTACCGAGCGGGCATATAGCAGTACACCGGAGCTAAGGAAAAAGGAAAAGCTGATCTTTCAACTGTTCTCATCTAACACAAACCCCAGGTGTTTTATGACGTGGTGCATAACGAGTAAAAAACAACAAAACCTTGTAAAAGAGCAAATAAGGTTGAAGCTATCCTGCGTATGCAGCACGTCAGTAGCCATCAAAAGCATTTTACAATCTTTGGAGAATTAAAACAGCTCACAAGCCAGCAAAAGACCTAAAGTAATTCCTTTTTAAGTGCAAAGACGGCGTCAAACAACCCAAACGATCAGGTGCAATATACTCAGTCTAGTGTCTAAGTGGCAGCCAAAATTGTGTTGGTGTCAGGCAAGTAATTACGCACTCGACTATACGAATACAAGCTTTACTTCCGATGCGCGAACCCGAGGTCAAAAATCTGAAAGCACTAGGCAACGTAAGGTTACGAGATTGCGATCGATAACGCAAAACTAGTGACGAGATCTAATAACATAGGAAGCGGTTAATTCTCGAAGTTGAACACTNTTCGTTCAACCCACACGTCGAAGTAGACAAACGTTAGAGTACACTCAAAAGCCTTGACGGTTAGTCAACTCACATAGACACAACACAGCACAGCGGTACCCGGAAAAACGGTACGCTTTTACCCAAAGTCATTTCATTCAGGTGTGATGGCCAGTCAAGGCGTTATAATAAACATTTTACAGTTCACTGCACAACTTAATTTTCTTTTCAAATATATGGATATGTATAACGTTTCAAATTCAGCACGTTGTCCGCTCAGTAGAGGTTTGAGGGGCACGTTTCAGTCAATGGGTTACGTTTTACGTAGCTACAATAAATTTACTAAATTGGGTAGTTTTTTCCACATGCCTTGCCCAATTATGCTACCTATTACACCAGGCCTTTGCAAAATAAAATAGAAAACCATGAGTTCATTATTTTTCAAAATCTCCTAAAATAAATATATATCAAATGTTGTTCCGTTCGACCAGGAAAACCAAGGCAAACCGTTTGGACGATATTTGTTGTCACTTAGGTCAAATAACTGTTGATCGGTTGCGAAAGTTAAATTCAGGGACCACAAATCTTCAAAAATGGTGCATATTATACTAAAAAATACTAGGGCAATCATCGTTGAACGACAAATATTCGGGGATATATATACCGGTTATTGCCTACCTCTCATTGGTTCGTAGTTATCTGAGCTGTAATGTGATTGGTTGTTTGAGAGTGGAATGTCATTAACTGTATTTGGTTTTGTACAAGCGGTCGGTGTTTCACCTCCAGATGCACAGTGTTTTATGGTTCTCATCAACGACAGCCAGCATCGTTTTTCAAAAGTTGATCTGCTGATCACGACTGTCCTTCTGAGTCATGGAACGGTATGGAGTTGGGACTCCTGGAATTCTCACGGCTGTCAACTAAGCGGATAACCTATATATCTTTCATTGTGGTGTGTTGCAGTCACAATCAACAGAGTACAACTCCCGACTATTTGTACATAATGTCTCGTAGTGAACTCTCTCAGACAGAAGCATTACTGTCTGAAAGTTCCCTTACGAAAACTTTGGACGAAGAGATACAAACTTCATACACCGCAAATGCCTTGGGTATTTCGCCACCCTGTACAGTTGTTCAAACACAAGAAGTTTCATCAACGGATCAGTCAATAAAACCAGTGAATCGACGAACGAAAGCTTCCAGATGGAGAACATTTCACAAGGACCCTGTTCATCTTGATCCACACAGTATACCCAATCCGGCTTCTAGCAATAAATCCCTGCGACAGCGTTGGTATGCGAAATTCAAACGAGATTACACGTCGGCCACAAATGTGTCTCACGTTGAACCGGTAGAGCATATGTCAGCGGACCATCGGCAAATTTCTCGCATACGTTCATTTCGTAAATTGCAGAGAGGTGTTGTGGTTGTGCACTCTGACACAAACTCACGAAATTCGGGAGGTTCCGTTTCGAAAAACTATAGTTTAGATTCCACCAAGTCAGATGGTCTATTGAATAAAACTATTTCCTTTGTCGGTGAGTCCGTAGGACCGGATACTTCGGAGGCACCATTGGAGCACTATCTTCCAGCATTGACACTCACTGTACCGGTAGAGGATGTCGTCCGAGTGAGTGATCAGAGCCAGCGAACGAATACCCAATGTACGACCTCGATGGATCACGAGGAACAAATGGAACATTTGTGTGACTATTGCGCTCTTTCTCAACCCACTGTCTCCACAGGTCTCTTGGGCTCGCATAACACACTTAGTCCGTGCGTTTTTCGCCGTCACAGCCATTGTGGTTGTTCGGGTTCGGACGGAAGCGGCGAACCAAACGCTGGATCTGAACAAGGGAAAGATGTATGCCCCGGGAATAGCGAAACACTAACTCCTCGGTGTCCACGTTGTCAACGACAAACACAACACGCGCATGCTTATGTGTCTCGCAATATCTATCCCCCTACCAGAAACAGGAATGCCTCTTGCTCCGGAATAGATATGCTAGCTGATGCAATTTTGCAAACACATTCGAGAGGTAAGTGGTTAGGCCTTCCCTACTGTGTTATGTTAGGGGGAGAGACTGGAGTGAGAGAAATATAAAAAGAAACTACTGTTATTTGAAATAACAATAACACAGCGATGAAGCTCAATGAGGTGAACACTTGTTATGGGATACAATTAGGCAGTACATCTAACAAACATGCCAAATAACAAAAATCCAACGGCTAATGTTTCCGTGAGAGATAGGAATGTGTACTTGCCGTAAAAAGTCAGCTTTTTCAACAGACCGCTTTGAGCTTAAATCACTTTGATTCAGATCTTTCGTCAAATATATGTTCGTGCTTCCGGAATAATACTGAAAAATTTTGTACGAAAGGTGAAAAGAGGAGCTGAGATAGGATTGGTAAAAACCAATTGGTATTTTTTTCTCAATAAGACATAAATGAGGAAAGATATATTTATTTACATATTGCCCGGATACTGAGTGACAGTTCGTTTTAGTTGAAGTTTGCATCCGAGCATTTATCAGCTGTTTTCCCCAGTGAGAAAATAATCCAGAGATATGGTTTCTCTTCTTATAACCGTAATAGAATATTCACGTGTTTTAAAGTAACAGCTATTTCAATTTACTCACAATTTACACAAATTTATGAATGTTTGAGAAAATTTGTATTATTCAAACGTGATCGATAAATTTGTTTTACCTATTACTTTATTCAATTTTATAATTCAGTTCTTATTCTATGCCAACTGTGATTTATCTTGGCCTAAGTTGTGGGACATTTCATAACTCGACAACTAATTTGCCCATAGACTAGGAATAGAACGCATCTTCTTTCTAAAGTTATCGGTAATGCTCAAAAATGGGGGTAAAATACTTATCGTGATAGCGCACATGATATCGATCATATCACACGTTCGTCATCTTTTCACAAAATGAAAACAATAGAAGTGGGAAATAACTGCTGAACGGTTCACTCCTTTTCATGGAGGAATTTGAAATTGTTATCTTGAGTGTGTTCAACTCAAATAGCGAGCAAATGAGTATTTACAGGTAATGAAAACGTAATTGATTACTATCTCATTTACAAATCACCAAAACAAAAGGGGAAAACCGTGTGTTGCTCTTTTCTCTCCTCCAGCTGTCTATTACATTGTTCCTTAGAAGTTAACTATATAATAAGTAACTCCGATTTAATATTTTTTCACTTATTAACTAGCTACGATCCATTGGAATCGAATTAGAAGCTATTAATATGCTGATTAGCCCAATATACTAATAATAAATTTAATGTGTACAGATCCACTAGAAGATTATATAGAAAAGTCAAAAAAATAATTAAGATCTCTTTTATGTTCTTCATAAGTACTGATGAAACCTTCGCCAAAAATCCCTTTTATTGACGTTATAAAACATCACGTAACACAATGTCCCCTGGTGTTCTGGTTAATCCTGATGAGAAATGTCTTCAGTCTGCTTCTTCGATGATCGATATACGACCAGATGAGAAACAACGAAATGAGTGTGAGAACTGGCGATTGCATGGAATTTTTGAAGGATGCAAGTGTTTGAGTTAGGAAGAAATAGATATTTACTCAAAGCATTATGTGACTGGGAAGAAGAACAATTGGGAAAAAATCTCTTTCGGGAGGTTCAACTGAAGGCTTTCCATAGGTGCTAATTTAGAGAATGATACAAAGGTGCTTTCCTAATGAGCTCCTTATGGAAACGTTTTACCAAGTTTGCTATCTCGTTGAGATAGGACACCAGTGACAACTGATTGGTGAGGACAACAGTTTGTGTTCGACTTGCTTTTCAACCCCATGAACAAGTAATAACTGCGGATTAATGAGGAATCGAAAATCAAATCAAAAATCACTGTTGATCAAAATGTTTAGCGAATCCATCAGTGATCATGTGGTCAGTGGAAAAATGGAATATGTTTGATATTTGGAGCCTTCTTATCACCAAGCCTAGCATTTTCCTCCAAGGCTTATTTAGTGAATTCTTCGTTTAAGTTCGTTAAAACAATGCGAGAAAAAAATGCTAAATAATTTAAACTTATTTCGCGGATTACACTACATAGTCTTAGACAGCTGTTTCGTCCTGTTTGGCACTCATCAGCAGTGCCTACTTTCTACCGCAATTAAATGCATTCAACAAGTGGGGGATCAACGATCTTCTAAGGGGTGAAACCCACACCGAATATCATCATAATCGGTGTCTAGTGCCTGTAATAAACCGATTTGACTAATTCAAGCATTGTCCATCTAAACTAAATAGTATATTTCAAATGGTATGATCCGTTTAGCTTTAAACAAACGACAAAACAGTCAGGCAGTGTTTGCAGAACCCTGTTAAGCGCGTGCAGACGTGCGAAAACAGAAGTCTAACTTCACAATTTCCCTATTTCACCTACATATCAATAATAAACGAACGTTGTAAAATGCAAGCACTTGAATGACGCCAATGGAAATTTGAAGAAAATTCTCCCAACCTTAAACGGACAGCGCACTCGGTGAACAGTTATTCTTGCCTCAATTCTTATTTTTGTGAGTGTGGCAAACTCAAATTATTTAATATGCATGAAACAGCAGCATTTGGAATTCACTCACTGCCGATGACTGTTGATAGCTAACTGCATTTCAGAATATTGTGCTGGAAATTATTGGTCAAAGTTTATCGCAACCTATTCGTGTGGGATGATAATTTTACATGTAATACTGACGATAATTCTTCCATGATCTCATACGCAATAGGTCGTCAAGCTGCACAAATTGTATAAAAGATGCGTGCTTATATATCTAGTATAACCGATGATAATCACTAGTGGTGCACCGAATTCAATACCCGTGGGAATAACAAGTTATCTTGGATGCCAAAATCGCAAATTTCCACAAATAATCACACTAGAATTGCAATCTAGAAGTGATATTTGAAGATTTCACTTGATTGCTCATAACGAAAATTAACGTATCTGATAGCCAGGTGTTTGATCGTGGGGATATAACTAAACATTGAATAAACGTAAGCCACTATCCGCAGTTTAATAATTTTGAATTTTGATCTTCTTGGAACATACATAATATCGGTAAACTAAAGAACCTGCCTTGTGCCTGACAAATGAAATCGATTGCGTTATTAGTAACCGGTAATTGAGGACACTTATGTAAACATGTTTTGTATGAATTTAAATGCTACACTTCAAAATTAGAAAAAACACCCAATAAGTTTGCTAATCAAACTTCAAAATCATTTTGTACTAATCGTGAACGTTTCTAGGCAGTTGACTTAAAATGCCAGGTTTGATCTCACATAAAAATATTTTTGATGAGGTAACACTTCTTTTATAATTTATTTCAAATAACATTGCAATTGCACAAGAAAAGTTGTGCTATTGTAGGGTGTGCTTTTAAACAATTTTTTATAAAGAAGACAATAGCCGCTTGATAGTCGTTTGAGAAAACGTTAGGAAAACCACATATTCACAGTGATATTCTAATGAATATGTTCGAGAAAAGCGTTCCCCGAATTCACTCCTAATACAATATATAGGGAAAGTATTTGAAAATCCAACATTATTTTACCATCTGCATTCAGAACTTCACCAAAGTCAACATTAAACATTTAACCTCTATATAAGACATTACATTCGTGTTGTGGACTATAACAAATGTCATCATCTTCTGGAGGTATAGATTAGAGAAATAAGACAACAGAATAGTTGAAGTTTACCAAAAATTTATTTGTCAATTTTGAGAAAAATACACAGGAATAACACTAGTTTTGCTTGTAAATCGAATTTCTTGCACCTTTATAATGTCATGATTCACAGTAGTTACCCTGGGTAAAACTGAAATGTTTACACTTCGGACGTTGCAACAAAAGACCAAAAGAAAATGAAAGTATTTGATTCGTTCAATAAAACACTGTTTTAGTTATTTTAACTTCGTTTTGATATCCGACTTGTGGTTCTGGTAAGTAACATCTTTTATGGTTTAGTATTCAGCAATTAAATTAAGTGATCCAATTGAAATATGATCTGTGGAGTTCACTTTAATCATTAATTTGGTCAAACTCGGCTGAGCACTCAAATTGCTCTTAACCAAGACTTATACGATGTTTTTGCTAGTATCCGTTCGGAAACCTCAATTGAGTGTAAATATTAGAAACCTGAAGAAAATACTCACTGAACTTCTTTTTCTCTATTAAACAATCACACTGACTTCAGAAAATAAGGTTTAACTGCTTATTCATGCCAAAATCGATCTCAGTCCCTTCGCACTCCATTAGGAATGAATGTTTACATTTGCGGTTCATTACCAGACTCACATTGGATTGTGGGATGACGATTACCAATTTATGTTCTTGGAAATTTATTCTTCATCCGAGTTCTGAGCTCATTCCATAAAACTGTGCCAGCGGAAAATCGTACTCCTTCTAAAGATGCAGTAAGAATGTATATCCATCAAACGTAGGCTGAACCGTAAGCTGCTTTAACCCGCTTGCATCCAAGTTACCTAATATTTTTTAGATCTTTTTTTCACAGAATAAATCCAATGGCCGCCGCCTGACGCAAATGTTCTTAGACCAAACAACTTGCATATCTCACACCTAATTTCAGAAAATTGATTATTTTAGGAATCTTTTGGACAATTCGCAATCATTATTGATTCACTCACAATTTGTTTCTTTCCGTTCTGAAAGCCAGTAAAAGCCATGTTTTTTTAGGACAAAACGACGCCAAATGAATCTGTACAATTAGCTCAACGACGAAAAACATATATGCTAAACAGCAACAAATTAAATTATTTGTTTGGTTCTGCGTTATTTAATATCTTCACACACATGTTCCAGTAAATAAATGAACCATATCTGCCGTGTACCTTGATACTCTGTTTGAATGCCAGTTACAGTGGATCGACGGTAACAGGCTGAGAAACGTCTTCCCCCCATGACTGTTGTTTCCAGCTTTTCATCGCTATAAATTAGAACTGGCTCACTAGTGCACAAAAAACTCTTTCTTAGTGAAT